GGCTTGATGGGGTCCCTGCACGTGGAAGCTTTCCCATGTTAGCAGGTTTTCCACTGCACCAGTGGTGGGAGTCCTGGATGATCCCCGGACGTGCAGCCCCTCCCCTGCTCCTTCCCTCACCCGCAGCAGCGATCCCAGTCTCTAGGGGAGGGAGTGAAGTTCTCTCTTACCCTGTTCTAGCTCCTGAGGCCGGCTTCAGCCTCTCCGTCCTCCATCGTCTTGCTGTGGGTCTCTGAGAGTCCCTGGATTAGAGTTATTGGTTGAAATTCAGTTGTTCTGGTTCTTTGGTTGTAGTTTGGAGGGGAGAGAGTCCAGGGTCGGCTCACCCTGCCATTTTGCTGATGTCACTCTGCCCTTGGGTCTGCCATTCTTGTGTCCTCTCTCCCAAGATGCCCATTTCCATTTGTCCCTTCTCTGCCTTTTCTTTTTTTTGAGGAAGATTAGCCCTGAGCTAACTGCTGCTGCCAATCCTCCTCTTTTTGCTGAGGAAAGCTGGCCCTGAGCTAACATCCATGCCCATCTTCCTCTACTTTTTATATGTGGGATGCCTACGACAGCATGGCTTGTCAAGCGGTGCCATGTACGCACCCAGGGTCCTAACCAGCAAACCCTGGGCCACCGAAGGGAACGTGTGCACTTAACCGCTGTGCCACCTGGCCGGCTCCACATTTCCCTAAAAAAAAGAATCATATTATATATCTGCATTTTGCTTCTTCTCTTTATTTAAGAATTTATCATGAATATCAAAAGATTCATATTAAGAATAGTAAAATTTTAAGATTTTTATTTTAGAACTTATTCATACAAAGTTTACTTTCAAATTTAATGTATTACTTATTGGATTTTTTATGTAGCTTTATTTTTCTCCTCTTCACTTTACTCGATAGTGCATGAAATATGCGTAGCCAAATAATTTTTAACAGTTATGAAATTAGAAGCAGTATGAGAATGCTTTCACAGTGGAATGAGGTGTGGCGCAGAGAGTCTGTACCAACCACAAGTACCAAATCAGAGGATGGCCCCAGATGACAGAGGTCATTATGCATGAGTTCATGTTCTGGCTCTGCCACTGAGCATCTGTGTTCTCTTAGGCAAGCCACTCACCACTTCAAGATGTACAGATGAGACATTATGTGTTAAATGACCTCTGAAGCTTCCATGAGTCTACTTAGAATGCAGGTATAGGGTATTCCAGAAACGGGAATGCAGATAAGTTTAAATATGTAGGAAAGGTGCTGGCATCCTCAAATTCCGTTGGGCTTGTTTGAAGACAGCCTCCATTCTTCAGGTTTCTATGCACAAAATGGCAAAGAAAATTTTTGTCAGTGTTCTAGAACCTATTCTTTCACAAACAAACAAACAAACAAAAAATGGCTCCTTTGGAGAATCTATTTTGGCCACTACAAGAAAACCAATTAAAAAGTAACTACTTCTATTCCTCTATTTCCGTATAAATGACTTTTCCTGTCTAAATAGGTCTACCTGTCACTTTGTAAACAGTTTGTAAATATAAGCAAACACCAGTGACTTCTACCCATGTTTTTAGCTTTTAATGGAAAGTGTAAATATAGATTACTCAAAAATGACATACGAATAATCATCAAAAAGTGAACTCCAGGGGCCGGCCCCATGGCTGAGTGGTTAAGTTCACGCGCTCCACTGCAGGTGGCCCAGTGTTTTGTTGGTTTGAATCCTGGGTGGGGACATGGCACTGCTCATCAAACCATGCTGAGGCAGTGTCCCACATGCCACAACTAGGGGGACCCACAACAAAGAAGATACAACTATGGACCAGGGGGCTTTGGGGAGAAAAAGGAAAAACATAAAATCTTTAAAAAAATGTGAACTCCAAAAAAAATTATAAAGGTTCACTCTTACCACCTGAGACCTATTGAACAGGTTTTTGCCACTGATAAAATGTATTATAGTGTATCAGTAGATGCTAAAAAGAATTATTACGTCTTCTATTAGAAATCAATGATCTCAGATAAATAACCATGAGCATTGACCAATAAAACATTCAGTAATGATGGAAACGTTTAATATCTGTGGTGTCCAATATGGTAGCCCCTACTGAAATGTGGCTAGTGCAAATGAGGAACTGATGTTTTTGTTTTACTGAATTTTAACTAATTTAAATTTAAATGGCTACATGTGGCTAGTGGCTACGATATTGGACAGAAAGATATAGATATCTTGGGACATAAATTTTAATTAAGTTCTCTCTATGGTTAAATATTTCTAAAATATTTAATGAACATTGATGATATTTTTCCTTCTGCAAGAGAATAAAATGAATTAATGAACGTTATAATTTAAATTATCTGAAAAAATCTCCACAAAGAAATATTACTAAACTTTTAATTAGGTTTAACTTTAGCAAAACAGATCTTCATAAATCATAGTTTTAAAGTAGAAGTATATAAACTTCTACTTTTGCTCTAAAGCACTTTTTTTTTAAAGATTTTATTTTTTTCCTTTTTCTCCCCAAAGCCCCCCAGTACATAGTTGTATATTCTTCATTGTGGGTCCTTCTAGTTGTGGCATGTGGAGTGCTGCCTCAGCGTGGTTTGATGAGCAGTGCCATGTCCGCGCCCAGGATTCGGACCAACGAAACACTGGGCCGCCTGCAGTGGAGCACACAAACTTAACCACTCGGCCACGGGGCCAGCCCCTCTAAAGCACTTTTTAAAAGCAGTGAAATCATGGCTCATCTGAAGAAACGTTAACAACTTAAAATATACTCATTCTTTACAGCCTCAGAACATTTAACTACAAGTTATGGTTTTTTGCAAAATGTTAGTATCTAAATATTAACAAATTATGAGAAATGTTCAGGCAAGGTACTGGGGGTTTTTAACTTCTTTTATCCATCATTACATATTTATACTTAAAATAAATGGAATTAAGTGTAAAGCTTGAGTTAAAATAACAATTAAGAAACACAATTAACATTTAAACTTCTTTTAAAAGTTAAAATCTCTATGACTTTAAAGCAATTATAAACTATAATTTTCACAGATCTTTTAAAATTATGGTTTTTTACAATGTTTATTGAATCTCACTCAAGTTTTTAAATTACATAAAAATATACAAGTGCTATTATGCTTAAGGAAGCACACCATGTACTTCACAACACAGGACAAGCTGGACAAGTGTCAAAATCTCCAAGAAAATAAACTGTGAAAACTTATATGTATTTAACTATGAATTAAGTACATGAAAACTGACCAGTTTTTGCTC